TTACAAGTAGAGTAACTGATAGCGAACAGCATGGATCCTGATCAGACTGCGCGGAGGTGCAGGCTGGTCTGGATCCATGCTGGTCGCAAACCCATTATGTTGGTTTTGTCGTGACGCGGCTCAATTGTATTTGAATGTATGTTTGATATTGCATTTATAACATTCACTCGCCTTCTCCTGCTAATTGTAACTTTATTATGTTGAATTAAAAAAAATAAAGATTGGAGAAAAATTTTATCTTTATTTAATTTATCAATTCCTTGTTGTTGAAATATACAGAAACTTCAAAATTATGATGTTTTCTTTACTTTATGGTCAGTTTTCCACGCATAAAAACGTTTTAAACAAAAGGCTTGGTACAAACATGCTTTGGTACAAACATGATTTGATACAAGCACGATTTGGTACAAATATGATTTGATAAAAACATGATTTGGTACAAACATGATTTGTTGGGAAATGATCTTGTACAAACATGATTTGATACAAACATGATTTGGAAAAAGACATGATTTAAAAAAAAACATGATTTGGTACAAATGCAGCACTCTTTCAAGACATCTTCCTTTAGTTCTTTACATCATGATACAGATAATGACCCTGCCAATTAGTGACACCCAATTATGGATTTATACATTTTAAAGTAGAATTGAGGATATACATGTATTACAAATTTATGTCTTCCAGGAATAAACTCTGCAGCAGAATCAATGTTGTCAACATGAAGAATCAAAACCAGTTAGCAGGGAAAATAAATGATAAAATCATGTTATGCAAATTCAAAATAAAGAAATGTAAAACTAAAAAGGATATACAGTTGACAGTTGGCATACTTCGTGTTTGAAAAGTAAGAGGATTCCCCTTCAGTGCTTCCCAATCCGGCAATAAACATCGAAATCCAACCCGACCAGGAATGTTTATTTTTCCTTTTTTTACTTACCTCAAGAAAAATCATCTCATCCCACAAAAATGAAGACGACCTTCGATACAGAAAAGATACATCTATAACGTCCGTCTTGTTTCTTTTAAAATGCCTATAATCAAGAATATGAAGTTATGTAAAAAAAAAATTGTAGATTTTCCAAAAAATAAAATTATTAATAACTACATTGTTTCCTGTTCAGGCAGTCAAGAACATACTGTGAAGCAGAATCTTGTCCATATATAGTGTTTGTCCAACCATAACCATGGTGTACCATTTACCAACCGTCACGTAAACCATAACTATTTTGCCATTAACCAACCGCCACGTGAACTAAAACTATTTGACCATTTACTTGCTCTCACGTGAACCATAACTATTTGCGAATTACCTACCGTCACGTAAACCATAACTATTTGGCCATTTACCGATCTTCAGGTCTAAGGACAAGAGCAATCCAAAAGGAAACAAGTTGTATGATTTCATATCTTCAGAATCTTACACTTGCACACGAACCCAACGAAATTCTGCTCAAACATCAAGGAACAACAACCAGAAGTGATTAATTGGAAAGACGCCATATTCTAGCTGAGTATGATCTGTTGAAATAAAGATTTTATACTTGTAGAAGGTGAAGTCAATAACATATTTAGTTCTAATCAGAACTATAAGTTTGAAAGTGTTTTAAAAGAAAACAACTCGGTAGGATTTTAGATGGGCCTATTTTGCACTAAAGGGTGATTTTCTATGCGCTATATCTCCTGAGGTGCTTCAGAACAGACCAAACAACTTTCCAGTCGGTGAACATGTTTTTATCTTGTGGAAAGATTGGCTTTCAGCATATAAATATTGTATTAACCTCTAATAATATCATGTTATGGCATTTAAAAGTAATATTGGTAGATTTTAATTTAGATTCAAATTTCAAAGCTTTTTTCAATTTGGCTTGTGAAGTAACATTATATGTACCAGGTATCGAAAGAACTTGTATTTTATTTAGTTTATGCAGAACTTTATTTTAGTCCGACAGTATAGGAAGCTTTAAGATTATCTAGACACGCTCTAGAATTCATTCCTGAAACTTGATCAATGAAATAACGGCCTATCCGCGCGGCTTACAAGTCATGTTGCCAACGTTTAAACAGATAACATAACAAAAACACGTTCATATCCAAAACTAACTTACGATGTAGATATGTGCAAACATTAATAATACCATACAAAGCCCATCACAAATTTCCCTAGTTGTGGCCAATGACTATGTGACTTTCGCCACGACGAACACAAATATTCACACATTCTTTTATTCCTGCATTCATTGAGTTGTGGAACAATTTGGACCGTCATATTTGACATTAATTTTGGCTTCACAAAATATTTTTAAATCTCGTCTCAAATATATGATGTTCCTAGATATTGTCTATACGGAGATCAAAGTTACTATACACTTATTAGGAATTAATGTACATAGTAATCTTACTGCAGATGTGTCAAATATCTAACATGTACCGAAAATAGACTCAAAAATACTGTATAGGATCTTACAATGATGACCCGTGATTATGTAAAACATAAACGCAAACCCTTGTTCGAGAGCCAAAATTAAAATTGTAATCCATATGTAGATATGTGTTCCATATTCAAACATAGAAATTCACTATTACACTTCGCTAAATACAAAATACACTAGCATTATAATAAAGAACAAAAAAATGGCTTAATATGTTCAAAAGTTGTCTTTTGTGTTTATAAACTGATTTTAATGCATACTATTTTGAAACGATGGTTTTGCAATCAATGTTAATATTACTTTACCTTTTTTTAGAAGTATTGACATTGAATGTAGTTTGTATGCACGAATATATTTGGAATGATTATACAGTCACACGAGCATTATCATTTATTTGGTACATAACTTAAAACCTTGCAAAATTTACTTACATGTATAAAGTTTTAATTGAAATACAATGTATATATAATAACATAATATCCCTTTCAATGTTACTTTACACATCTAATGTATATCAATCATTTTTGTTATTAAGTCTTATTGTGTACTTTAAGGAAAAATAGGACGATTCCTTACTTCCTAGGGAAGAGGTTAAAATGAATATGTGAAAAGACAATGTTATTGTTAAAAAGTATTATGTCATATATTCTTACCTCCTTTTCACCATGGCGTTAACTCATGTGAATAGATTCAGGATATCTACCTCACAAAATGTCAAGACTATGTCTGTTTCTAAACTAATGGTAATACCAGGGATGTTTGATATAAGTCTGATGGAATCTTACATTAAACTAGACTTTAATATTTGTATATTATTTTTACCTCTCACTTTGCTCGCAAAAGTAATGAACTTATCGCCTTATTCGCTAAAGACTTCCATAGATAGATACTCGCGTATACTATAGACGAATTTTTAAAACCGTGACGTGTTGTCTTTCCTTTTCGTTCTTTACGTGTATTTTCTGAATCTGTGGCATCATTTAATAAGTTTATAAAATAGAAACAATTTGAGATGTAAGGATAACGCTGAGTCTGAATATATGATTCTCACGTTTAATGTCAGATACTTTAAGTTTATTATGAAAAAAATATTTGAGTCTCTGAACACAACAAAATGATGCACCATTTTACACCATCATTTTCTAATTTTGAGAGGGAGACGCCCGAACCCCATTGTTGTTCAGTTCTTTATCAAATAATATTATCCAAAATATGATGACAGTATAGCATTGAGAATATTAATATTTCATGGGTACTGATGTCAACATCGACTTTATAGCTAATAGTCCATTTTTATGCTGCATATGGAACACATATCCACATATGTATCACAATGTGCATTTTGAAAATTATTCCCTTCACACGTTGCTGATTTCCAAAAAAAATGATTAAAAAAATGATAGAACAAGGGTTTGTGTGTGTTTTTAATCATCAGTCACAAGTGTTTGAGGTTATTTTCAATAATTTTCTTTATCCTCGTGTTAAATTTAACACCTAAATCCACGACAACAAAAAATTCTCAAAAAAGACTGCATCAACTGAAAACGCAAAGATGGGTAAATTAAAGAACTATATATGAGTCGAAAAGCATTTCTTTTTTGTTTGTTTCAATAATAGTTCATATTTAACAAAAATAACTAAAAATGTAAAACTTGTCGTTTAATTTAGTCGCCATTTGTTTTCCCGTAAACTAACATATCTTTTTAACTGATGCACATTCCGTTGAACCATATTAAGTTGGTCCCCCGTGATACCGGGTACTTGCAGTTTCCTTCCGAGCGTAAAAAAACTTTTGTTTGGAAACTAATATCTTTCTGATGAGGACAACTCATTTATTTTTGACAAGGTACAAATATTTATTAACTAGCTCCCCCTACCACACCACCCCTTTTCTCCCTTACCTGTTAATTTTTCCTCTCATTTCGTTTTGGTTTACTAGTTTATTCGATTCCGTTTCAAATAGAAAGACCCTGGTTTCTGATGTAGATTTAGATCTATCTAACTTGTGGTTAAATCCTTTTGTTGCTTTTATAAATAGATCTAATAATAATAATAATAATAATAATAAAATAATAATAATAAATAATAATAATAATAATAATAATAATAATAATAATAATATAATAATAGAATCTAAAATAATAATAATAATAATAATAATAATAATAATAATAATGTTATAAATGTGTGCAAAAAGAACAATAAAATAGATCTTTGTTTAATTCATCAGAACGATAAAATAAATCATAGCATTGAAAATCTAACTATGATGCACAGAATACACGTGCGCAATCCTAATGTAACACAAGGTAGGCTATGAGGGCATTAATAATCAATTTTGATTTTTCGGCCAAAAAAAAAATAGCCGATACTGTTAAATTGTAAATACAAATATAAAATGTATATAAGACTCCCGATTGTGCTCAATCAATGAACATAATTCGAAAATTTCATTCTAAGCTCCCCTATCATTCAATGACACCCCCGATGTTTCAAAAAAGTGAAACAGTCCGCGGAAATTTAGACCAATCAAATGTCTCGTTACAACACATAGTGTTTACGTCCTCATTCGGAACACTTTTGAATGTTCGTTAGGAAAGTCGAAAGGTGTCAGGATTAACGTGAATAAAATTCAAAAAATGACTTGAATTCTGTGGTCAAAATGGATAATAAGCATCCGAGAAAGATTTTGAAATCACCAGTCGCTAAAAGAAGGAGTAGACTTGTTCCTAAAGATCAAAAGGTGAGGTCAGAATTAATGATTCACAACAGGTGCTGTCATCGTGAGACAGGTGACTCGTTACTTGACGGATAAAAATTATAAAAAAAACTGAGTTTGGAAAGAAATTAATATATTCACTTAAAGTGTTAATCGAAGTTTATGACAGCTTTTTAAAATAATTAATTATTGCTATTCCTAAACTGCTACAAACTTTGCGCCATTGCAGGTCTTACAAATTTTACAGTACAGTGACCTTACTGTAGTTTTTAGTTGTTTTGGAAAATAATATGAAAGTAGGCAAAGCCTATGAATGGGGAAGTTAGATAAAGAAATTCGTCCATTTTTTTATTTTACATTTTTTTTAAGTTATCATTTTGTATTTTATGCACTGCTTCTGTTTTCATAAAGCATATTCTTATTATATTTCCACATGAATTTAAAAAGAGTTCTATTTACTGTACCATCAAGTTTCAATACAGTTAAGATACCATACTCTTAAAGAGTAAACAACCAACAAATTTGCTGAATGATTCTGTGTTTGCAATGTCATTCTACATTTTAAGCTGGGATGTAAGCTATGTACCGCCTTAATGAACATTTTGGTGTACTGGGCAACTCAATAAACACTTTTGAATGCCAGGAACTTACCTCGCTTTGCTTGGATAAAACAATCATCATATTGTTTGATTGGGATTTACCTCACACCAACACCGTGTAGGTCATATGGTGATGTTCCAGACTACTGGTGGAGGAAGACCTCCGGTGCCCTTCAGTGCATTATTTCAGGCACGAACAGGCACCTGAGTAGAACCACCGTCGTTCCGTAAGCTAGCTGGATAGCTTCCTCACATGAAAGAATCCAAAGTCCCTGTAGGGATTCGAACCCACAGTGATGAGGGGAAAGTGGTTTAAAGTCAATGATCTAAACCACTTGGCCAAGTACGCCCCAATCATCAAATAGCTTAGAACTGACATTCACACACTTTTTATTAAAGTTCTGTCATCACTTTTTCTTTGTTTAGAAAATATTATAAATGTTAAATAATTGCTCAAGTAACAAAAAAGTTTTTGGTTGGATTATTGTTGTTCATTTATGGACGTGTAATTATTCGCAGTGCATTTGTTGAAGTGATTGTGAGAAAACACTTGAAAACAATGTTAATTATGACAAGTGTTTTGGAATTAAATCAGAAAAAAGGAAAACAAGCATTGTTTGGCTCAGAATTTTCCCACATTGGCTTTGATGTTTCTAAGAATAATCCCTGATTAATCATGTTGTTTTTTTTTTGGGGGGGGGGGGGGGTATTTTTCATTGACATTTTTACTCACTTGGAACTTAAACTTATGTCCTTTTTACACATACAGTTTAAAATGTATTGTGGCGGCAGAGTGGTAACTGCATCAGACTAGTAATCTAAGGATCACTATTGTGTGGGTTCAATTTTTGTGAAGGATAAACCATTGTTTCCTTGATCAAGAAACTTTATGCTCATTGCTAAGTACTGGTTAGTTCCAGGAATGGATTCAAAATTGTGTCTATAAGCTTATAGCTTCCTACAAAATCAGACTGAAATAAATTTTGTATAAACCAAAGTGTATTGCCTTTGTGAGTACATAAGTGACTTAGTCATATCATAATAAACATCTATCACTGATGGTCATGTTGCAGCAAATCACTGTGATTTTTCAGCACTAATTGCAAAATGATTTATGTCACAATTCAGAACTGTTCACCATTTAGAGGAGAAGATGTGTAAGCAGCCGGATAGCTCTGTCGGTAAAGCCGCTGAGTGGTAAATTATCGTATTCCAAGGGTCCCGTGTTTGAGTACTGGTCATGCTGCACATTTTTCTCACCTTGTGATATTTATAAGATATTTTGCTGCATCTTTACTGAAGTTTGTGGTGATAGCAAGGGTTGACAAATACCACAAAAATTGTGGGTTTGGGGCATCCAATACTTAAATTAGTGGCTGTGCCTGGTTTATTGTCAAAATTGCTCCTGTTTATGTAGATAAAATGTTACAAGCAAGTTAGCATTCTACAATGTAGTGTGAATAGCCTAAGTATGTATATAACAGGTCCATAAAGTGGCAAACTGGGTCTTTAGCCAGCCCCTTATCAGCAAAATGAAACAAAAACAACAACAAAACAACAACAGACAATAGTATGTCTAACCTTGATTTGATATTTATTGAAAAAACTTTGATTCTAAATTTCCCAAAATATTTTAAATAATTCAGAATGACAATGTACCAAAATTCTGATTATTTAGTGTTCCTTAATTCTGCTGCTCTCTGGAAAATAGTCTAATTACCTACAGTTTGTTAAAGTTTGTGCAAGGTATACAATACAGGTTTACCCAGATACCATCTATTTTCTGAAGAGTGAAGAGCAAGTTTATGTTTTATTTGGTTTAAAGTGAGTTAATAAAGCTTTACTGGCTCTATAATGACACAGTTTATCAAAACAACTGGCTGCTGGTTAATTAAATGTGTGTAAAATTAAGATGTAGGTTGCTAACATGCTGCAGCACTCATGTGAAGCACTTTGATGTGTAGTTTATTACATATATTGTAACATTTTCTTCACCATCCAGTCTACTTTAGCTCTTGCTTTCTTTACACTGCAATTTATACATTATAATTATTTCAATTTATATATCTACAAAACAGTTTAAAAATCCAATGAAAATAATATTTACATGTATTATGTTTTAATTTCATATCATTGTCCTGGTATTATTACATATATACATGAAGCTCTTAAAAGGAAATTTTGGACTTGTGAGAGGCTTAAAATGACCCCAGGTCGATCATAAGGTAACGTGTAACCAACGCTGAAAAGCCTTTGACTCTATCTCAATCCCTTGAGAATTTGCAGCACTTTGAAATAAATTTTGATGGAAAAGATCGAGGCAAAATAGTGATTTTTGGCAATTTTGAGATGTCCCCTCGTTGCCATGGTAACAGGAAATTTAAGACTGAGCATGTCGTTACAAAGGCAATTGTCCAGTCAACATTTGTGCCAAGTATGATCAGTATTGAAGCATTTTTCATAGTTTCATAGCAGTTTGAACTTGTAAGAGGAGGCTCTTCAGTGAAAATTGCCATTTTTCACAATATGCTCATGGGGGAAAGGGTTAAAACACATACATGTAGATGTAAATAAAGCACTTTGGTAATCTGATTGGAGGGAAGGGTACTGTTTAATTATAATATTATATGTGATGTTTTACCACTTAAATTTTAATTTAACATTAAGAAGTAATGAATTTTGATGTTATCTTTTTGGCATTATCTTTAATACATGTATAAGATAATAGGTTATACTCGGTCATAATTAGTATGATAATTCATTGAAATCGCACTGATATGAAATGATTATAAAAAGTAAAATCACTTGTATTTATTTTACCTTGACAGATTTGCATTGCTGTCTATGTATACATAATCTTATGTTAACTTTCAAGAGTTGTTTTTAATTGGATTTATAAATCAGCTTATTTATAAGTTTGAAGAGATTATGTTTATAAATACATGTATAATGTTGCTGTTTTTATGCTCAATAATGTGTCGAGTTCTATAATGTAGTAAAATTCATTCATCCAAACAAGCAGGTAATATATAGAATGATAAAGGGCTTTTAATACCTAATCTAGGTAAACATAAATCGCCCACTTTCACTTATATGGGTGTAAACTATATTTGACCCTGATACCCTGTAAAGTTAAGTGTTTAGATGTTTGAAGAGGCAATCCATCAATCACCTGCTGTATATTATAATTATATAGTACAGTATTATAGAATGATACAATACTGCAGCAACACTTACTATACTCTCTCATCAATCTTCTTATAAAACAACAACAAATCTACATAATTAAAATGCTATGTATATTAAATGATGTAGATTATACCTTAGTTTATAGTGTATAAGTATACGCTGATCAATGCTTTAAATTCTCTTAAAATACAGAACATACATCCAGCAGACCTATTTATATATATGTATACTAAAGTTTTATTGTCAGAGGTCTTTGGGCCTCTTTTGTTTAAGTGGTAAAGGTTGCTCACTTTGAATCATATGAAAATATCAGTTAGATAATCATTGTATTATTAAGGATTTACTATGGATTCTTTCTTGCTAGCTTAGAGGAAAGATATTGGTTCTACTATAGGTGCCCATTTAAAAAAATTCATGGGGCACATCACCAGATGAAGCTGGAAATTGACCAAATGACCTATACAGTGTTTCCCGGCATACTCATAGTGATACATGCATATTTTTGAGATCTTGAATTTGTACATATATCATTACAATTTGCCTTTTACATGTATGTGATTTGTTTTAGACTGAAATCAAGCTTATGAACTAGATACATATACATATACCTGTAATATAGTTGGCATACATGGTAAACCAAAGTTACAATTGAAGCATACAAGTATTCCAGTCCTTTTATACAACTGTTAATTAAATTTTAAAACTTTTATTAGTTAGTTTATTGAGAAAGGTCACATGAATGCCCTAGAAATTTTACATTCAATAAAGGTATGCATACATTATAAAAAATTACATGCTTGAAATTTTTATAAAACATTTTTGAACTAATTTTAAACCCAATTTTCATTTTACATTTATTTTAAAATTGAATTTTACATTGTCTTAAAATATTTGCCCCAATTTTCCTGGCTTTTTTTTAAAAACCCAATTTTAATGATTTTTACCACCCATAAGAAAAACATGTGTTCCTTTGGGCATTTTAAAAAAGTGGTGTACATCTATCATACACTTTTTTGACTTTTTTATCTTTTTTTAAATTTAAATTCATTTTGAGGACGTTTTTTTAATAGTTTTTTGGGTCAAAAATCCTTTCGCTGTAAAACAATTTAAGGTTTTTTGACCAGAAAATGTTAGTTTTTCCTTAGTGCATTTGGGGACAGAAAAATATTCCAATTATATTATTTGACGAACCCTTGTTTCACAATACGTGTAGATACACTATATAGATAGTTTTGTAAGGTGACTATATTACTATGCTAATTAAGCAAACAAAAATATGTAGGTCTATTGATTGTTAAACATAGATCTCTTATTGTAAAATGTTTTGCTTAAGGTGAATAAACAGTGCAGGGTTTTAAAGTTATGTTTATTCAATTGATTTGGGCTAATTTTTGTTACAATTTCACAAAAATTTCATTTTGTGGGTAACAGTGTTTTATTAGTTTTATACTTCTTCAGTATTGGACAGTTTTGACACAATTTTGAATTGAAAATTAAATATTTAAAAAAAAATGATATCTATAATTACTGTTAACTCCCACACTCTCTCCCCTAAAATGACCCCCACCACCCTAACAAGCTTCGGTCAACATTGAGTTAAGGTCAAGAAGCATTTAATATTATTTATCTGTATCTCTGCATAGCCACAACATTTCATTCTAATAGTATACCCTTGCTTCAAATATTATATATATGCATGTATCAGAAGAATAGAAGCAAAAATTCCCACAATATAACTTAGAATCATAGAATTGTTACATGGTGTATTTATTTCATTATTGAAAGATGGATAAAACAACCTTTAAATGTTACAATAGTTCCTGGTTTCTTGTTGCTAACATTGGCACATTTTCAATATTTCTACATTATTTTAGGCAATTAAAATCCATTTAGAAATAATGACATTAAAGGGTCAGGTATTAAAGGGAGTTAAAAATTTAAAAGCACGATTTAAAAATGTTTTCAAATTTTCCAAATTTCAAATTCAATAGCAGTTTTAAATTTTCACCCTTATTTAAAATAAATTTTTAAAAAAATTTCGGTTTAAAACCCCAAATTTTTAAATTTTAATTTTTATATGGGGGGGAAAAGTTTAGAATTTTGACAAAATCGCTCAACTGTCTCTAAATTTTAAATTTTATAATGTTTTTTTGGTGTGATTTATGGAGATTATTGAGACTGGTTGATGTAATGTTTTAACTTTCACAATTCCCCTAGTGTTAAAATCTGTCATAATATTAACACAAACATGTGGACGGAAAGTTTTAAATCTGCTATCTTTTGTAATAGTACAGTTATTAGACATTTAAGCCATGAATAACTATAATGTATATAATTATCTGATATGATTTTTATCAGTCGGATAAACATCAAAGTTAATCATATCATGTAAGATCAGTGTACAGTATTTTTTACCCCAAAGGTTAGCGCATGATTTTGAAAAGAAATTTGGTTAAACACAGACTATTGTTTCTGATAAATATAAGTTCAAGGTTTTTATTTAAAAAATCTAATTTGAATACCTGTATTATTGATCAGAGAAAGATAGCGGTATCTTAGCATGACTATAAAAGGAAAGAAAACATAACTCTATGGGCTGATCAAGCAATCCGGGTTTGATTCCCAGACGACGCAGGTCACTTTCTTCGTGATTGATCATGAAATCTTTTCAACGGTTAATACTCTTAACTTATAGTATATTTTTAAAGGGGGTCATTATTTACATTTTTTTTTTGGTTTTTTGACACTTTTAAGATGAACACAATTTTTATCAATCTGGTCATATTTTTTCTTCCCAGGTCCAATACTCGTGCCTGTGGTCCTTCATACATTCATAATTTCATACCATTTTGGTTTTATATTGATGGCTTTTTTTGCTGCACTTCTTTACATGTTACAAGGGCAGATTTATTGTGGAAAGGGGACTGTATACATGTAGTTTTTAACCAAACTGTCATAAATATAGTCATGTCATGCACTTAAAACAATTTCAGCATGCAGCTTTATTAAAGTACTAATGATCTTGAAGTGCAAATAATGATTCCATGTCATAGTGTCAGACGATGTTAAACATTCTCTTTTCATAATGATCTAGGCCATGTATGACAACTGCCTCAATATAAAGTAATTTTTGGTAATTACATTTAATTGACTGCTAAAAACACAACTTTTTTACATGTATTATGTTTTTAGATATGATAACCTGTTACCTACAATGTAGATTTGACAACATTTTCAATAAAGCTTCCATAATTATATGGTAATAGGGAATCATCTATATATTCATACTTTACTTTTGTCGCATTTGTATACATACATTTTTATACATATATACAAATATTCACATAAAATCTGCATACGACCATACTTTTTAAGAATTTCAAGAGACATTATATCAATGAGAAATGTAATAATTAATATTCCAAGACCTATTACAGTTAGAGTTCAATTATCATTTATAATATTATTATAGTTCATCTATGTATTATACTATTTTTTATAGTCACCTATATAATTAATACATGACTGTAGGTAACATGTTTTTTTTAATCAATTCAATTGAATTGAAACTGATAAATGTTCAGAAAGTGTCATCATAGATATATTAACTGATATATTAACTGATATATTAACTGATATATTTTAAGATAACTATACAACAAATTTTGATTATCTACTACTATATTTTCAGGTAACTCTAGAAAGAGTTCTAGGATTTACAGCCACCAGTAATGCATTAGTAGCATGTGACCCAAACACTAGTACCATAGCATATCCTGCAGGGTAAGTCATTATATATATATATGAGCCGCATCACGACAAAACCGACATTATGTGTTTGCGACCAGCATGGATCCAGACCAGCCTGCGCATCCGCGCAGTCTGATCAGGATCCATGCTGTTCGCTTACCAACTTTTAACAAGTCGAGAAACTGATAGCGAACAGCATGGATCCTGATCAGACTTCGCAGATGCGCAGGCTGGTCTGGATCCATGCTGGTCGCAAACCTATTATGTTGGTTTTGTCGTGACGCAGCTTATATCCTTCATGCTACTCCTCTAAATTTTCATCCAGCTTTAAGATTAGGTCCCCTAAATATCTTCTAGTTATAATGACTGATTCTCCCACAAAATGACAATACACACATGTATATTATGATGTATTAACAACAGCTGTATTCAGTTAAAGATTTTAAGAGGGCCCTTGCATGGCATATATACATCAAGTCTGGGATTTTGTTTTTTCACATATGACATTTATTTGAGATTATTATAAATAATGAAAGGCTGAATCTCCGAAGATCAGAATTTAGTTTATTATAATGTTGGTAATTGTTTGATAATTCATGACTTGTATTGTTTACATGTATATTCATGCTACATGTGTATATACCTTCATTGTATGAGTTAAAGGGGAGGACAACTCTTAATTACCGGTACTTACAAATTATCTTGTTAATTTTGATAGCTTATTAACCCTTTACAACAAGACAAAGTTTGCAGCATTTTTCCACATGATAATAAAAAGAAAATACTACCGTATATAATGTTAGGTGAGGTAACAGTAATTGAAACAATTGTGATTATCAGATAGATCTAAAGTTTACAATATAAAGACAACATTTCATATTCTTTTACCTCCAGGCATATGAATGGTAATTAATATTTTCACCTTGTTTAACCTATTCATTGTGTTTCTAATGTGCAAATAATGTATCGTAATGTATTCAACTGGAAGATGATTACAAGACAATAACACAACATGTATAGTTTATACTGTAGTGTATGACATATTTTACAAGATTGGTAATGACAGTCAGATTTTTTCTGTAAAAGGAAAGAAAAAGCAAGTTCTTTGTTGCTATGAAAACTTCACTCAATTGAATGTTTATAGACTTTATAATTATTGCTGACCAGTGGTTTGTTAACACAATACATGTAAATACCTTTTGGGCTACTGCAGATCTATGTAAGTTCATAATGTATAAAAAAAAGTGCTATTCTAACATAAAACTCTTATGTTCTATTCGATAATTTAGCTGTTTATAATTTTTTCTTTTAAAAAAAAGAAATTTTAATGGATGTTATAATGAGTGAGCATGATGTCATTTGACAGTTATGTTTTGATTTCGACATTACTGGGGCAGTCAGTAATTTTTACATGGCATCTTGAATCACACACAATCATGTATTAAAAAATGGTGCATGTTTGCAAGATTTTATCTACCATTTGCATTGGTAGCTTTTATGCAAAAATACATAAGACTTCTTTTAATAATTATATTTTTCTGTCTTGGGTTACCGAAAGCAAAGGCTTATGTCAATATGGTATGCTAATTAGCATTCTAGGTAAAGCGTTTTACGGAATAATCAAAGTTTAATTTATGAAATTGACATAAATAAGACAATTGATAATAACTGTTGTTATTGTTTTATAGGTAAAAAGCAAAATTTAATTGTATCTCAAAAGACGTATTTAATACAGTTTCCTTGCCTGGGTATCAGTTGAAGCAATGTATACAAAATTGACATGAAATTAATTAAAACATCTATCTATGTTAATGAATTTTTTATGTAAATGAGTTTACCCTCGTTGACCTCGAGGGAGGATGACAGTTGTTAGAGGGATAGAATTATTGTGTCACTCTTTGTCTATTATAGTATACTCATTGTTTAAATTAATAGCCCACCCAGATAGTTTACCCAAGTTTAAAGATGGACTATGATTAACCCTATTGTTTCCTTGCATAAATATACTAGTATTTTAACCAACATTTAGAAGTTTTGGTTAGGCCGTGTTTAATTGCTTGTGGTGATTTTTAGATTGCTTGAGTCACTTTAGGCTTGAGGTCTGTCTGACCATGCACCAATTACACTTGGCTATACAGTTTCAGTATATAGATATCAAATTCCCTTATATTGATGAACAAATTTAATATGTTTCTCTTTAATTTTAGCATGGCCAAGCCATTGTTTAACTGTTTTGGTTATAAGAACAGTTGTTTTCTTATAAATCCAGTGTCACATATATTGTACAGATGTCCATAACATTACTACAATAGCACTTAGATTTAATTGGTGTTTATCTGTTCATTAACTCAGTAACTGTCCTTGTCTAATAAAATTGGTTGAAAATACAATGTACAAAATGATTTATATACTTCCAGATGAAAACATTCTATTCAGAATGATTTGTCAGTATTACAATAGAAATAATGACAAGGACAGTAGGAACAATGTTAAGTTAACAGTTTACAAGATACTATATTTTGACAAGATTTAGACGTTCAATATAGATATCAACATTTATATGACCTCACTATAACCTGTACCCCATTATTTGTAACTGACTCTTTTAAGTATTTTCACAAGTGTTGTGTAATGCAACAGTCTTTATTTTTCTTACATCCACCTGTCTAGACCTTATTATTAGAGTAGAAGATGGTGACATGATGTGGCCAGAGGCCAAAATGTTGACCACTCAATTAGGATACCTTGTCCAACTGTCCACTTTGATTATCCTGTAATGATAATGGCAGCTGGTCAGTAAGGATGTTGTCCTAGTTTCCTAACATCAATCTGTGCTTCATTGTTACATTGTAATACTAGTATTTTAATTATATAATATGTTGACCTATATTGTGATGAGTCATCTTAATAAATTATCTCCCCTACATGTTAATATTAATACCTAATTAATATTGTGGTGAACAGGCATCAATAAATATTTTCAGAGTCACTCGTCCTGCAGGACGAGTAGCTACTAAATCCAATGTGCAGACAACATTTTTCTACCCATCCTGCATCAAATTCTCTTAAATTCTACTTGTAATTACAAGTGGAGGAGTGAAATTTTTGATCTCTGGTGCATGGAAAAGATGTCAAATAAAATTTAACTTCCTAAAAGACAAGGAATTAAAGTGGGTTGCAATGTTATGGGAACCAAACCAGGAAGTAAAGTATAAATTTGCATGCACTTGTTAATAAATGCACAGGCTGTTTATATATAAAGTACTTGTGATTTTTTTATTGCAAAGCAAAACTTGTATGTATATCCCATATATAAAATTTGAATTATGTAAGTCAATAAGGCTGTTTATAACTTAATAGTTACAAGTTTTCTATGTATATATATTTAAAGTATTCAAATATAAGGACAGCAAAGCAATTAATGGGAATATACTTAAATGTTTATATTTAATAGAGTTATTTAAAGTGAGATATTTTAACATGTTTATTTCATATTTTGCTGTATATATGTATGTAAGTGTATGAAAGTGCTGCATGTTTAAACATTGTGTAAGTTTGGGTATCTAAGAAAAATAAAATCATAAAATTAAAATATCTAAGTCAATTAGTCGTAAACAACTTCTACTGCACCCTTCAGGAATTTGCGACATACTCATTTACATGTGAAGTTAATTGATGCCAAAATAGGTGTGACATGTATGTCACTTTGTAAACATAAGGTGATTTTGAAGAGATGGTATAAACTAGACACATCCTTCCCGGAGCCAGAAGTTCCAGACGTAATATAAGGCTTCTTATATAGCTATTATACTTGTGTACACATGTCTCTTGTAATTGCTTTGAAATTGCAAGTCTAATAATATACATGTATACTTGGCGTATATATTATACATTGTGTTGCCTTTAATTGCAGGTGGTTTTCTGGCTTACATTGTTATTTTAGATAACCCGAACATTGTATTTGATGTAAGTGATCGTAATATTGGTAAAATCTCCGGATGTAAGGAAAACATTTGATAACCAGACTATATTTTTTGTGGCATTGTTATTGTTAGAAGTTCCGGGATTCTGACGTTTGGCTCTGGCAGTTTGAACTTATTCCAGACATTATTTTATTGTCTATAATGAATTATCTACAAACATTGAGAGGAAATCATAGCAATTACAGAAAAAAATACAGAGTGAACTGTTATTTTGGTTCTCTAATTGAACATGGATATTTTGTAAGAAATATTGTACTTTACCTGTCAACAGCAAAATAAGAAGGGTCTGTCTGGTTTACCTGTCGACAGCAATAGGTACAAACATCTGGTCTAGATGTGGTGAGAGATTGTACAAAGAAAGCAATGCTCAAAACACTTCATGAACATAGAGCTGTCAGTCAGTATAAGTGTCAGTCCAGATGTAATTTAGTGGTCTGTTACCTTTTACTTTAAAAGAGCTGGTATCTTTTATAAATGTTAGAAATGCTATATTCTCAAAATTGGAGAGTATCTTCAAAATTGAAGAGTATATAGTTATTATACAAGAGCTCTGTCTCCTGAATGATGGGCTCAGCTGATATTTGAACAATTTTGATTTATGCTTCTTTTTATTCTTTCAAGGTAACTAACTATACTGCCAATACAGGAAATGAATGTAATGTTGAAGTGTTACACAAGTGTAAGAGTAAAGATAATCTCCTGACAGAATCTTGTGTTGTTACCAATATTATACTAAATTACTTTAGATCTTCTTATGTTTTACTTGTTGTGTAACACAAAAGTGTAGCGTTATTAATGATGCTAGAATATATATTTAAAGTGACATTATGCTCATTTTTCCGTAAAAATAATTGTTAATGAAAAATGTTTTGAATAAAATATAAAAACTACCTTAACCCATTACTTCATATACACGCCTTTTAACGCCTTTTTCACCCCCCCCCCCTTTTTTGTTGTCTCAAATGATGAAAAAATGCCTTATTTAGGCCCCAAACACTTGGTTTTGTTTGAGAAATGTTGTTAAAAAAAGTGACCTCTTTTTCGGCGCGG